CCACAGTGATATATGCGCACCTACCTTTATAACGGCACAGTTTGTAATAGCTAAAACTTGGAAACAGCCCATTTGCCCACCAGTTGGAGACTGGATAAAGAAGATGTGGTTTTTCTATGAAATGGAATGCTATTCAGCTATCAAGAATGAGAAATTAGATTCATTCATAGGAAAATGGATACATATTGACGATATCCTCCTAAGTGAAATAAATAAGTCACACATGTGCAAATACTGAATAGTTTCTCCGGTGTGAATAGCTATAATAGTACATAAGATCCTAATGAAGTAATTGACAATGAAATACGAAGAAAAGGGCTAAAGGTGTAGGGAAAATGGGAAGGTTAGGGGAAGGGTAATAAGGGAAAGGAAAAAAATATGAGAAAATGAAAAAATGGAAATAAAATGTTTGTAAATGGGGAGGGGAAAAGGGGTAAAGGGAGGCCAGGGATAAGGGGAATAAATGAGAACCAAGACCTGTCAGGTAAAGGTACAAGATCCCAGTAATGAATGTAACTATACTGTATACCTAAAATGTACCAATAAACTCAATGAGGAAAAAAAAAACAAAAAGGTTTGCAAAAGTTTCAAGAATATTTTGCTTAGTTATTTCCTGTCCTGTACTTCCTCTTGGTCCAAACGGCAATCAACACATATAAAAATAAAATATTTCCAACATTACTGTTATAAAAAATAAAAATGACTCTTAGTATCCAATGAAGTAGAAATATATAACCTGGTCTTAACCAGTCCTTCAACCCTAGTAGAATAAAATTATTGATACTAAGTTCTCCTGCATGTTTCTTCTGCACAATATTTGATAAGAAAAGTGCCTAAAGGAAGGAAAAATTATATATGCATATGTTAAATACAGATTTGTGTGTGGAATTTATGTATAATCTGTACTTAATTCTCTCTGTCTGGAGCCTTTCATATAATGAACAGAAAACTGGTTGAGTATTGATTGCTCCAGTTCTAAAAGAAGACATTTTTTCTTTTGTTTATTATACTGGTGAAAGGGTAAGGGAGCCTTTAAGAGAGAAGCATGTTGGAAAGCAAACCTTGAATATAAATGTAAATTACAACATTCTCACAAATTGTAACATATTATCTATCCCATTCTTTAAAGAAAGAAAAACAAGGCTAATAATCATCCAGTTACATATTGAAATAGAACAGTTTCAGCTTATTTATTACAATGTTATGTTTACTCATTTATAAATCAAGATGTTTCGAACTGAGGTGGTCTTCTCTGCCCTTTTGGATGCCATAATGTGAAGGGTGCTTCTCATTATTAGACAAACCTATTACAATGGGTTACTCCAGTCTACATCTTTGCATTGCTATTTGTCTGTATTTGAATGATATTAGTCTTGCTTCATTTCATTACTCCCTTGAGTAAGTATTTTTGTTTTTCTATTCTGATGCCATATAATGTCCTCCCTTTTTAATTGAATGGTAAATTTGAAGATAAAGTCCAATGTTCATTTCTACCATTAATGTCTTCAATCACAGATCAGATTGTCACATGGATTAGATGCTTCTTCACAGCTATGGTCCATTACTGCCAGGACTAAAAATCTCTTTATAGACATTAAATCTTTTCTTCTTCTTCTTCTTCTTCTTTCCTCCTCCCTCCTCCTCCTCCTCCTCCTCCTCCTCCTCCTTCTTCTTCTTTTCTTCTTCTTCTTCTTCTTCTTCTTCCTCTCCTCCTCCTCCTCCTCCTCCTCCTCCTTCTTTTCTTCTTCTTCAGTAGTGTGTAATGTTTAGCGGATCTATCAAAGTATTTCTTTTATCACATTCTCACTATTTTTCACACAAGACTTCATTGCTGAGCTGCATTTTCTTGATGCAAAGAAGTCTTATATGCAATTTCCATCCCATTAACCATTCCAAGTAGATAATCCACATTCTAATGTGCTGAATAATAAACCACTGCTAATTCTGAGTTGCTCTCTGATCTTTTGTTCAGCTGTCTTTTGACCCCCTCTAGCATTTTAGCCATCATTTTCATTAGGACTTTTACTATTTGACTAAGGAGATGCTGGACTATTTATAACTTGTTTGAATGGAGACATAGCTGTTGTGATTTAACTAATTTGTTGTATGCAGAGTTAATTTCAAAAAGGATCCCATAGCTAATTCAAATGTTGTTGATGTGAAATATATATTCCTCATCACCTTGTTGGAGATAATAGACTTTGTAGTTGTCATTAAGAATAGGGCTAGGGATGTAATTCAATTGTGATGCACCTGTCTTGCAAGCAAAAGATCCTGAGTTCAATCCCCAGTATAACAAAAACAAATAAATAAATAAATAAATAAATAAATAAATAAATAAATGGAACATATTATTTTACATTTAATACCAGAGAGTCCTGAGTTAATAATCTAGCCCCTTCTCAATATATTTGCAGACATATGAGCAAAAATTACTTATTTCTTCAGTGTCTTGTGTCAATTCTCAGTTTAGGATTACTTCAGAAAGTTGTCAGACAGGGAAAATAGTTTAGGTACCTAAAACTAAGGACCCGCTGTACTGTAGAACTCCAATTACTTTGTATTTACAATCATTCACTAGAAATTTAGTACATGAATCATTAACACTGCCTTTCAGGAGTACAGTATGAATAGAAATTTAATTGCTGTGAGGATTACTCTTTTTCCTTGTCCTTCCTCTTTTGCCAGTTTTTATAATGGTATTGCTTTATCTTGGGATGAATAGTATTGTGAGCAAGAAGGTCTAGACCACCCACATTGTGGTTTTGCAATTGTCTTTGTTCAGATGGGGCCTCCTTTGTTTCTACTACAATCTTCTCCATATGTATTCCTGCTCATACTTGGAAGAAGAAACACATACATGTGTAGCCATCATTTTATATTGTACAAAGTCAGTTTTCAATTATGCCATCTTACACTGTCTTAGATATACATTGTTTAATCAGTCAAGTATCTTTTCCTCTTAAAATAGAACTATGAACTTCAAATAATATAATATGGTAAATCTCATCAAAGCATTGCAAATATTCATCTGACTTTCACATTGTGAAATATTCAAGTTCATATGCACATTACCTTTATTTTTTAAATATTGTAAATTACAAATTAAATTAGTCTGCTCTTAAGTAAATATACTCTATAGTTTTAGATCTCAAATCATGTACCAAACATTAGTTTAGCAATTGCAAATTCATTCAAGGTATATCTGACAATTGGCTCTTTCTTTATATTACTGGCAAAATTTCAGCTTGTAGTTCATGACATCACTAACACCTAAAATTTTGTGGCACATATGGAGTCAGAATGTAGCTAAAAAGAAATGAAGCAAAATAAACCAATAACAAAGATAGGCCTGAGCTCCATTTACATTTGAAAAATTAAATCTTTCACTAACACACTTGTAAAATCTTTGAGTGATCTTGTAGAACTTTCAATAGAAAGAATGAATAAAGACAAAGGAGAAACAGAATGAAAAAATGTCTAGGGAACCAATAGACCCAGAAAAAGCCAAGAACTGAATGAACTTTTAAGTCATTTCATTTTGAGATAAAGATTAAGAAATTGCCTATAAACAATCCTGCATTTTCAGAAGAATGAAAAGTATTACAAAGCAGATTTATTTCTTCACCTGCCAAATGTGTTTGGTGCTTTAAAGTCAAAGCTTACTATCAAAATTAGAAAATAATAAATCAAAAAGAACTTAACTACCTAACTAGATTTGACTCTTGGCCAATGAAAAATGTAATTACTAAAAGGTGAAATTACTTATACAGTCAATGGAACCTGTTGTTTATCAGCTATTTCAAATTTTTTTCCCCATAACTTTCTTCTTTCTGACTTCCATGCTCTATTCTCAGCAATGCCAAAACTGACCTGTGGGGACTCCAGATTCCTTTCTTGGTCTTTCACTTTGGACATTGAAAGAAGAAAGTGCTTTACTCTTCAGTTACAATTCAAAAAAAAAAAAAATACTCAGAGCTGTCAGTACTCTTAAGCCCCCAATTACTAGATAAAACCAACATGCAGTAAAAAGATAAGGCTGTCACATTTTTTTAATGTATTTTCACCCATGAGTTTCTGCTATGCTTGAAGTTAGATCCAACTATGGATTTTCTAATAGAAAAGTACATTATTTCCTTTTTTATTTATTCTACATTGTTTTGAGCTTCTATCACTTGCAACCAAAAATATCCTGCTAATAGTTGTGACTATATTATTATGTGCATTCTTTAGAAGCCCAACAGGCCAACAGGGACAGCCCTTTCATAGCTTCATAGGAGTTGAAAGATCTTTCTCTCCTATCACTAAGCCCATGACTGAGGCCTTATTAGTGAAAGATAGGTTTGTAAAAAAAAAAAAAAAAAAAAAAAAAAAAAAAAAAAAGTTTTTTCCTGGAAGAGACTGGAGGCCCTGGCCTATGTGTGTCCTCTACCCACCTCTCTTCTCCAACTGGAGAAGAGCACTTTGCTCTGACATGCAGTTCCAACTCTTGCCATTTCAGCGTGAGATGGTACAGTCGAAATCTAGCCAACAATGTGCTATTTTGACTTTGAGCAACCAAACTGAGCTAAATATTTTCTCTTTATAAATCATCTCAGATATTTCACAATAATAATGCAAAGCTAACTAATATGCTTACTCTCACCATTTATATTGGGCAGGGTACTAGAATTTTATCCAGAGCACTGGAGAAAGAAAAAATGAATAAATAAATGGCAGGTATCTAAATCAAAGAAACAGGCCTTCAATCAAAACTTTCAATAACTAGAATGTCATTGTAAATTAGTTTATATTCATTTGTTCATTCCCAGACAAACCTATGTTTAATATTAGGGACATGAAGTGAGAAAAGGAGGCACAAAGCAGACTTCATAGAATACAATGATTTTTATTTTATTGCTTTTGTTGTTGGTGGTGGTGGTGGTGTTGTTTTGGTACCAGGAATCGAATCAGGACCTTGAGCTTGCAAGGCAGGTTGTAGAACCACTAAATCCCTTGGCCCAATTTTTATTTTAAAATAAGAACTCTGGATTTCATGTTCAAAGTGGAGTAGAAAGAAACACTGGAAGAAGAGAAAGTAATTAATGGTTATTGTAATAATCTAAAGAGAGAAGATGGTGTGTTGGACCAAGATAATAAAGTGAAAGTAGGGACAATAAGATTACTTCAAAACTGTGAATAGGATCTGAAATATAATAATAATAATGATGATATTACTAATAATAATATAAAGATTTTCTACTTAAACAAAATGATGCAACCACTGTATAATCATTAAGCTGAGACATTGCAGACAAAGGTAGTAATTGATTTAAGGTGAACAAAACTGAGTTTCATAAATATTATGTTTGAGTTACTAGGTATCCTCAAAGGAGACCTGTGCAATAAACATTTAGAAATGTGAAGTTAGAGTTAGATTGAATATACCAGGCTATCAATACAAACTTTAGAGTCATTTGTATATATGTGGTATTCAATAGCTGACTGAGACCATCTGGAGAAGTAAATAAAAGTACATAAAAGGATAAGTCCAAATAAGTAACTCCTGGATTAGGAAAAAAGATCAAGGGAATACTGAGGATATACTCCTAAGTGAAATAAGTCGCACATGTGGAAATACAGAATAGTTTCTCTGGTGTGAATAAACTAAAATAGCACATAAGATCTTAATGATATAATTGACAATGAGAAATAGGAAGAAAGGGGCTAAATGTCTAGGGAAAGTGGGAAGGGTAGGGGAAAGCTAATAAGAGGAAAATATGAGAAAATGAAAAAATAGAAATGAAGTTTTTGTAAAAGGGGAGGGGAGGAGGGGTGAAGGGAGAGCAGGGACAGGGGAGAAAAAATGAGGACCAAGACCTGTCATGTAAAGGTACAGGATTCCAATAATTAATGTAATTGTACTGTACACCTAAAGTATACCAATAAACTCAACGAGGAAAGTAAATAAATAAATAAATAAATAAGATCAAGGGATTTTGGATCCTTGGATGGGTGGGAGAGTGATCAGCCACAGCTAATCAGCTGATAAGCAGGTTTTGCTTACCTACAGAGTCGTTTTCATCAGACACTCTATAATATATTTAGTTATAAAAACCTTATATTTCACCCATATTTCTTTTCAGCTATTGACTCATTTCCATTTCTCTTTTTAGTAAAATAAAAAGCTCTGGAAAGATTTGTCTACATTTAATTTCTTGATTTGTCTCAAGTTCTGGAATTGCTTTTCCCCACTTCAGTCTAATAAAGAAGCTCTTATGAAGTTTAATAATTATTTTTATGTTGCTAACTGCAATGATTTTTCTGTTTTACTTAGCTTATTAGCAGGTTGATGGTGAAGATTGAAAGTTTTTGTTTTTGTTTTTGTTTTGGTACTGGGAATAAAGCTTGGGACCTTGTGCTTGCAAGGCATAGGTTGCAAGTTTGAGAAGGAAGTAAGAAGTAAGATATATAAAACACTTTCCTAGGAAAGTGAATGCATGAGGAAAATGTTAGGAATCACTACAGAATCAATTGAAATGAAGTGTCTGAATTATAGTGAAGTATATTTCACAAAATTGTATGTTTGTGTTAGCAGCATTTAGCTATGTGGTGTAGTGTGGAATATATTCATAGTTAGCTTAATCAAGGCTATGGTTTTGTAACAAGTACAAGAGGAAACAAAATATTTGAAAATATAAACACAAAAGAGACATGATTATAATGATATATCATAATTTTAAGTTGAGTGTGCCAAGAAGAGAGGATATGAGAGTGATAAGGAAAAGTAAATAGGTTATAATACTGACTTATTTTGGGCTGGTTGATATCAAATTATTTTTAATTAATTTTGTTGGTACATTTAATGCATATATAATGACATTCACCATTAGAAAGTTGTACTTTTATGATATGGAATTGTTATAGAAATGAGTATAAAAAACAGTGAGTTGTGGATTTAGAATGTGATAGTTTTAGCATAGAATTGTTTCTTTTTATTGAGTTTATTTTGTACAATCTAGGTATACAATACAGTTACATTCATTATTGGGATCTTGTACTTTACATGATAGGTCTTGATTCTCATTTTTTCCCTTGTCCCTGCCCTCCCTTCATCCCCTCTTCTCCTCCCCATTTACAAAAACTTTATTACATTTTTTCAATTTCTCATATTTTTTCCTCTCCCTTATTACTTTTCCCCCACCCTTCCCACTTTCCCTACACCTTTAGCCCTTTACTTCCTATTGCACATTATTAATTATCTCATTAGGATCCTGTGTAATATTATAGTTTATTCACACCAGAGAAACTATTCAGTATTTCAGTTAAAGAAATCTCTGTATGAACATCAAAAATAGGAAATCCTAAAATAAAACTAAAAAAGGAAAGAAAAAGAGAAAAGGCAATGATGTAAGATTAAAATAATCCTTAATTCTGAAGATGAAAATGGTTCCTGAACATATTTAAATTGCTTCTTGCTCTTGTAATCTTATTCTTTTTTTTTCCATTATTTGGAGAATACTTTATTAGTTTCTGTAATCAAATTCACATAGATATGATCTTACATATTTAATACAGTGTGTTACCCCTGTACAAATGGAAAAAAATAAAAAATTAAAATTAAAAAAATTAACATTTCTAGACCAATATGGCTGTCCATTTCTGTACAATGCCAACTCAACACAGTAAATTGGGATAACTTTTTCCAAAGTTGAGAGCACCGTTAAAGTTTCCAAAAATTCAAGTTTTATATATATATATGTATGTATATATACTATGAAATTATATAGCAATTAGTAATGGTGAAATCTGACATACAGTCATAAGATGAGGTTGTGTAGGTGATGAAATCAGTACAGAAGAGAAGGTCTATATTTAGTTTATAGAATTTTGGAAGAGTCATCTTTTGGAATAGCAAAATTTCCAAGAACAAAAACAGGAGCATGGAAAGTGCAGTAGGCTAGACAAATGAGTTTAATTCTTCAACAAAGTTGAATGCTAGTTTCAAATAACAGCAATGTAAATACTGTATGTAGGACTGTTTGATAATATACAGAGTTGTTTACTAAATTTAAAATTACTGGTTGCTGGGAGACCCCTGTAGTCAGATTCGTCTCCACCTGCCCAGTGCATGATGAAGGCCTGAGAAAAAGAGTACACTAAGAGACAGAACTAAGAGGGATAAAGTGGAGTCCCAGGATGGCCAATGCCAGTGCAACTGAAAAAAGGAGCTGGACAGTCCTAGACACTGGCTTTTATTGGCAATCAATTGGGGTAGAGGAAATACGTGGTTTCTATGGAAATTAATATAAACAGACTCATAAAAGACAAGATAAAGCATTTTCAAATTAGAAAAATAAACAAAATATATAATTGTAATTAGAACATCATCCTCCTGGTCTGAAGGTTTTAGCCATGGGAACAGACTTTGGGTTTTGTTGTTATTTTATTTGTACCAGGGAATGAACTTGAGACCTTGTGCTTTTGAGGCGGGTGGTAGAGCCACTAAGCTAAACACCCATCCTCCATGCCAACAGAATTTTTGAAAGAGTTACTTTGACCTCAGCATGTATTCTTCAGCCAGACTCACTTCTATCAACAAACCAATTGTGGGGTTAATTCTTCACAGACTGCTTTGGGCACAAATTGGAGTCTTCTGCAATTGGTCTTTCTTTGACATATCATAATATTTTAAATATATTTATTCATCTGAAATTGAATTAACCATACATTTTTTTTCACTTACTGCATCTGTCAAATTTATTGTGTCATATAATCTGATGATATAAGATTAAAGCTTGGAAATTTTTGGGAGGGAAAGTAAATGTCATAGTTAAGCAGTAGAGGGGAGCAGATAATGCCACACCAACATAGGCTTTTTTTGAATAAGGTTTAGTTTTAGTTGATTATTTTGAGAAACGATAGACATAAGAGAAGCTCTGAAAACAAAGTAGAAGTTATCCTTTTATAGAAGAAATTTGCATCTACAAAGAAACTCTCCATTTGTAATCGTGTCTCCCTAGCTGTATCAGAGGAGGATAACCTTAAATTACTAGTGTCTTTAAAGAAAACACCACTTTAAATCTGCTGAACAAATCTCATAATTGTTTATTTGCTGTTCCTGATTATCTCCCTACTTCTAGCCTCACCAACGCCATTCCTTTTTGTTTCACTTTAATACTTTATTTAAGCCTGAACTCTAGGTCACCTCTTTGAGGATTACTAATTCCTAAGTATCTCTTATGTATACCTGATAAGCTTTCTCATTTCTGAGAAAAAATACATAATTTAAAGAAGAAGAGATTTAATTTGCTCATGGTTTGAATTCAGAATTCACTGACCCCAAGGATGAAATATGGTGGAAGGGCATGATGCAGCAAAGCAACTTAGTTCATGGCAGCCCGGAAACAGAGTAGGAGTAGAGTATCAGTTTAGAACTGGCAAGAACTGGAAATAAATCTCAAGGTCATGCCTTCAAGACCCACCTGGTAAAATCTAGTGCTCTACTAATGCCTGAGATGAATCCCAAAGGCAGTGAAGTTGAAATCTCATGTTAAATGCAACAATGTGTCCTTGACAATAAACTTGTTTATTTTTCCTTTATCAGTCCTTTGTTATAGGGATCTGTTCCAACTGAGAATTCAGAATAAGAGAGAAAAATGTTTTTCCTCTCAAACAGAAGCTGTGAAGATCAAACATAAAAGCAACCACTATTCTAAAACATACCACTGATATGAATGATCAAAAAATAAAAACTAGCTTTCAATTAGAGCCAGGTTTTAAAAAAAAAAAAACCTTCAGAAAACAAGAAAAAGATATTTAGTGGCTGACAAATAAAATGTGATAAACATCACAATAGAATGCTTTACTCAAGTCCATGCAATTAGAAATAAAAGTGGTGACATTACAGCAGATCCTGCAGAAGTCCAGAAGATCATCAATAACTATTTTGAGAAGCTGTATTCTAATATGATGGAAAATATGAAAGAAATGGACAGATTCCTGGGTACATATGAATTACCAAAGCTGAACAAAGAAGATATAAAAATTCCAAATAAACCAATATAAGTTAATGAAACTGAG